TTTTTTTTTTTTAATCAAATTCAAACCTCTGCCAACTCCTTAACTAGTAAAGAGAATACAGAATTACAGCAAAAGCAAAGGATTCTAGAACACTCATTTTAATGAAAACCTACCTGGATTTATGGAAGTTATTTATGTTTTTATTATTTTTCTTCTTCTTTTAAATAAGTAATCTGGCCAGAGTCTTTGTGGGGTATAGTTGGAAGAGCACTGATCTGCATGTAAGAAGACCTAGTCCTCCCTCTGGTATTGTTGCTTTACTGTGTTACCTTGGACCAATACGTTAATCTTTCTGACCCTCAGTTTTCTATTTCTAAAGAGAGAGCAGATGGAGCAAATGTGTCTCAGAGACTCCTTGATGCAGTAGAAGTGGAACATATGAGAAGGATTTGGTGATGATTAACTAGAGTGTTAGTTTGCAATTCTAGTTCTTGAGGAAATAGCACAGGTGAAGCATATGTGGTCCTGGAGTTAGTGATGATAGGAGAAAACTGAGTCAAAGGGGTCAGCACTATGACCATTCACAACTTTCCTTCTACCCACTAGTCTAGAGGTAGATATACGGAGGCTCCCCAGGTGGTGGGGAAAATCACAATAAATTCATTTACCACAGGATCCAGGTTTGAGTGTTCCAGCCCTCTGAAATGTGTGGGACCATTGTGTGATGAAATAGCCCTGCCTGAATGAAAAAGCCAGCTCTTCTGTAATTTTGTCCAACTTCCTTTGTTATGGATTACCAGAAGGAGCTCTGAGTTTTAGCAAATGCTGAATGTACATGCTCCAAAGTGTTGTGTTCCTCAGAAACAAGGGTAGGTATGGACAGGAGGCACCTGGACACTCTGACCCTCCCACAGGAGACCAGTGCCCCAAAGTCAGTCTGAGGGTTTGTTTTTGTCCCTCTAGATCTTTTTCTAACTTTTTTTTTGACACTCTGGACATTCCTTTATAGTTGGCCTATATAAATTATTTTACAAATCAGAAGTTCCATGGAGTGGCTTTGACGCTGTCTTCTCTCATGCAGAGCCATCACTCTGGAGAATCAACTGGTGATCCTTGCAGTGACAGCAAGCGACGCTGGGGCCTACTACGTGCAGGCTGTCAATGAAAGGAATGGAGAGAACAAGACAAGCCCACCCATTTATTTGAGCATAGCAAGTGAGTCTTGAAATTCCACATGATACATCTGAAAGCAACAGAACCTTGATTTAATTAATAACCACTGTCTCATTGGGCATTTTGCAATAAATATTCCCTATTTAGTGTAGTGGTTCTGGTGTAATATTGATCCAGTGTCAGTAGTTGCTTTCTTTAAAGTGATAGGCAGAAAATGTGAATGCCATGGAAAATTCTGAATGCAAGATCTTATTTGTTTGAGGCATTTAAAAGGTATTGTTTGCATTTGTGTGCTGTTAATATCTATTTTTTTTAACAACAAAAAATCCCTTTTACCTTGTAAGGAATTTTATCCATGAATCTTATTCAAGACTAGAGGAGGCACAGGTTGTATCTTTAATATAATAATAAAATCCTTGAGAAACTACGTATACTAAGTTGAGTTAAAAGTAGCAGTGTTTCTTAAACATAATCAGATCATTTTTTCTACTTGATTTAACTGAATCATGAAGAGAATATATCAGTTATATATTCAGTTTGTTTAAGGACATTTTAGTTTGAGGAAACTTAGTTTAAATGTTTAAGCTTTGAAACAAGGCTCCAGAAATTCTACTAGCAAGAATGTCTGGAGAAGGGAAAATGACCAGAAGGAAGAACTCTGAACTAAAAGATTAAAATGTGCATATCAGAGGGCATGTTACCAAATTGTATCATGAAGCTTTGTCTTGCCAATGGGTGTCAGCCCCAGGCAAGTTCACTATGGGTAATGAGACCAAAGAAGACAATGGAACATTCTTGGAGTAAAAGGGTTATACCCAACTTTATTCCCGAGGTGGCAGGTCAATCACTAGAATCCTGTCCACTCAGAGCAAGCCTGCATGCAGCAAGCCAGCCTCTGCCTCTGGGCCTCTTGGTCCCTACCGACCTCTCAGTTTCTGTCCTCGGCACTGCCACCACTCCAGTCTCTGCTCTCCTGCAGCTGTGCAGCTGTGCCACTGTGTCAGAACACTGGGTGGAGCTCTTTATATAGAGCCAATAACAACGTATTGCCCACACATGTGTAGTGAGCTAGTCAACCAGGGCCAGGTGAGAATCCTGGCTATAGGAAACTTCACTTTATCCACAAGCCTGATGGCGGGAAATTCAGTGATTGTGCTGTTGAGAAAATACAGTGGGGAAATGGTTGTAAGTTTCAAAATATTATGATCACATGACATAAGAGTGAATTAAATGGATTTATCTGTATAGTAGTAGACGCCATCTGTTTAAAAAACACCTTGAAGGAATGGTTTTCCCGTTTGGGTAATTTGAAAAGTTTTCCTCATACGTGGGATAGGACCATAGTGTTTGCTTCTCATGGTCCATTGCTTCAGGCCTGCTGGGATTTATTGGGTGAATGTTTGTAGCAAAAACTAGGAGTTAATTGAGTATGCTTGGTAAGTACTCCTACATGGCTATCATCCTGCCATTGGCTCTCTGATTCCTAGGAATCAAATCCTGACCTCTGGACTGTAGCTGGGTACAGACTTGGCCATGAGGGTGGCCTTTTTAATGTTGTGGAGTGTATGCCCACTGATTTGGTGTGGAGCTCACAAAATGCAGCACATGATGTAAAGGACCCTCTGAATCAAGAATCATAGTAGAAGTAAATGTGACTTAGCAAGATTTTTTTCAACATCTATAATAAAGGTTGAAAACTGTATTATCAAATAGGTTGTGATTAAGGATTTCCAGGTTTTACAATTAGAGCCATTTATTCTGTTTAGAAATTCTGATTCAGCACTCAATTGTAATATAAATGCCAGGAAAATAATTAGTCAAATTATGGAATTCTGAGTCAGAAACAAGCAAATTGGCCTTAGTCTGTTAGTAGAGTCAGGAGAAATTCCACAAATATTCTGTTTAGCATGATGCTAACATCACAAAGTTATGAAATAGTCTGTACCTATACACCTGTAGCTTCCTGCATGCCTCCTCTATAAAGGCCAGCAGGAAATGAGACTGATAGAGTGAATTCAGAAGTTGCTATACTAATGCAATACCATGGCATTAGATAATTGGAATATGTAATTTTTTTTCAATAATTTCAGTGTCTACTCCAAGAAGTATATTGGGAGCAGCTCATAAATATTATAATTAACTGCCTTGCATTTTGTTCCCTTGGATATTTTTATCTTTCCATTGGCGCCAGGTAAAATGTGCAGAAGGTGAGATACAAGGAGGGTAATGACACAGACAGACTTATTTTAAGTCTTAGGAGAAAACCTGCATTCTATTCCCTTATATATTCTTTGCTTTGTATTGGAACTAAGTAAACTGAGATAAGTGATGAGTGATGAGGTTGAGGGAAGAGCCTTATTTGAATTCCTAGGAGAATCTTACTGTTGACATATTGGATTTTACTAAAAGTTAGATGGCACCCAATTATGCTTTTTCTCACTGAAAGTTCTATTTTGAAATCTCTAAAGATCAGAAGTCTTGCTAAATCTTCAGAAAACCCAAGAATTGTATGTTTAAATTTTACTCCTTTCCTGACTGCAGCAAATGCTCTAAGCAGCAGAAACTGCAGCTCAGGACCTTGCTGCCAGCCTCTTGCCAGCCATGAAATATTGGAGTCTGCGTCACCACTAGGTTTATTATGGAGTTAGATATTCTCAAGAACTCTTCATTGCTGGTTGTAAGATATAGGGTGTCCTGTAGACTTAGACATTTTTTTTCTGATATAGGCTTTGTAAAAACACCAAACAAGATTGATGAAAAAATTTTCAAACTTGCCAGCCAGCATTTCTGAAGAAGCAAAAGATATTACAACCAATTATCACTTAACAAAGAAGAATTTTTCTTTGGCATCAGGAGAATAAAGTAGAGAACCTTTATGTAGGAGACACAATTGAAGTGGTAGGGTGCTGGAAATTAAATTCCAGTGGATTGTACTGTAATTAGTTTGAAATTGGAGAGTGCCATGTAGCCCCACCTCTTAATTCCTGTCATAATAATAAACCATTCCTCATGCAGGATCAGCGTAGTGTTGAAGTAGCACACAGGGGACAGTCCTGTCTCAAAACATCTAAGTGAGAGATGTGCTATTACCCATCTAACAGGAGGAAATAACAGATTTTCCCAAGCAGCTGTGTGCTTTAGGATTCAAAACCTCACCACCTTTTCAATTGCTAGATATTTTGGCCACATTTGAAGCTTATGGGAAGCAAAAGATAAAAAGGGTTTAGAAAGAATAAATAAAAATTTTAAAAAGCATGACAATTAGAAGTGAAATGCAGTCTTATAATGGTACCACCTGCTGTTTTGTGCATGTTTAGTGATGGCATTATTACCTCTTAACATTTCTTCCCCTTTGTATTGTTAAGATGATAAATCACAGCATGTTCTGCACAGATACTTCCTGTCAGGAAGGAGAGGACATTTCTGCACTGCCCACTCTCCTGCTCCCCAGTGGAAGCTTGCTGCCTCTCAGGGGTGGATTCACTTTGAAGTTTTTATGTGACGTGAAGCCAGCAGATGTTAAGGACATAGGTGGGACTGTTGAAGCAGCCTGCATGAATTTTTCATAGCTGGCTCCCACAGCTAGGTGCACACCAGATAAAGAATGGGCTGAACACTCCTGAGAGTACATATTTCTATTCTGAGGTCAAACCCAGGCAAGCTTTATAAACCTGTCAACCTGTTTTTGGTTTTTGCTTTGAAGATTTTATATTGAGTTATCTTTTGTGGATCAGATCCTCTGAACTGAATTAATATATGAACAAGAGTTTCTTCTTTCAAAAAGAAAGAAAGGTTAGAATTAGGAAATGAGAAGAATTCTGTAAAGTGATTAGTCAAGCATTGTTTGAATACCATTGTACATACTTGAGACACACCATCAGCTCTGACCCAATATTCAGATTGTCCAGTGTAACTAGATTTTCTACTGGGGATGAAGCTTAGATTAAAAAGGAATTGACTGCTTCTTTCCTTCCTTTTTTTTTCACCTCTTTCATTTCACTGTCTCCTCTTCAAACAACATTCACAGATAGAATATCATTTCAACTGATCCTCCTTCAGACTGACAGAACCTTGCTTTTAATTCTGAAGACCACTTAACATTCTTTTGTCCTCTGTAATGCTAATTTAACTGCAGAACTCATATATGTTTAGTAGTTGAAAGTGGATTTCTGAGAATAATGTCCGCCAACACTCATCCAAGCAGACTGCCCTGTAAAACATGACTTTTTTGTGCCTGGATAGAATTTTATCTTCTTTCTTTTGTGCCTTTAATATTAAAGGGAGAAGATGGGACAGGCATAAGCCTTTCAAATGTACGATGACATATACTGGATTCCCAAAGCAATTGGAATGACGTAAAATTTTACTAAAACCAATCTGGAGAGACAGTGTCCATATCACAAATGACCAATTTAGAATCCAGCTATAGCTTCATAGGCTGTATGTGACTTTACTGCCAGAATTTCCAGAAACATGAATAGCAAGTGTACTTCACAGTAGTGTGATGAGTTTAATTTGTTCAGTGTGCATTGAGCCTTCTAATGGTGTATGTAATGAAGCATAAGACATACTCTGGCCCCCACATCTTGGAGCTGGTTGTAAACAGAACTAAGTCCAGGCTGCAGGTTTTTTATAGGTACTCCCAAAGTAAGCAAGCCTTGAGCATTCATCCTTAATATATGCATACTTAGTTATTTATAAATGATAAACGTACAACTATCATACAAAAGAAATAAAAGTGAAATAAACAGTGTCTTAAGTATCTTGCTGATCATAAACGTTCCATTTCATCTTTAGTTCATGTCTCATGGCACAACATACGCTTTGCAAATGCAAATCCATATTTTACTTGGTCTTCCTGAAAAAGTGTATTTTTTTGGACAAATTTTCATGACATCTGTTTACAGAGAATTGTTCACCCTGGTAGCATGTCCAGTGAAGAATGAATGGTCTAGCGCACACGCATCCGCCCCGCCATTCGCCCTCCTTTTGTGCTCACCTGATGCGTGACTCAGCTCTGTGGTTTCTTCCCAGGAATATTT